CCCTGGCTGGGGCAGAGTTGATCCCCATCACTGCATCCACACCGGCCACACTCAGCACCCCATCTGCTTCCCACCTCCATGGAGTCTTGCAGAGACCCAGTGTGTGTCCAAGATAGAGGAGCAGCCAGGAACAGGGGCTTTGCACCTCCTCAGCTCATCCAGGACCCCGATTACCTGTTCAACCCTGACGGTGAGAGCAGTCCCCCGGGGAGCCCGGCTGTCGCCCCGCCATGCCCAAGCACAGCCGTTCGGGGGCAGAGGCACCGCGGCCGGCACTGGGAGCGGGGCTCCGGGGCTCCGGGGCTGCGGGGCGCTGCCTCCCGCCGGCTCGGGGCCGCAGTGCCGCGCCGGGCCCGGGGCTCCGGCGGGCGGTTCGCGGGCGCCGGGCGCCCTCTTGTGCGCGCAGGGACGCAGGGCCCGGGGGAGCCCCACCGGCAGGGCCCGCAGGGGCTGCCTCTGCAAACGCAACGTGCCCGTGAAAGAGCGAACCCTTAAAAGCCGGGAGAATCTGCTACAATTCCGCCCGTCGTAACACACCAGCTGCGGGCCATCTGGGGGTACCCGCTGCTCTGTGCCCCGCTTCAAGGCTTGCTCCTAAAGAGAACAGCATCACTCTGCTCTACAGAGTGCTGGCAGGGCATCACCCCACACTGGACATAGGATTATCCAAAGGTTTGCTTTGGAGGGGATTTTTGATATAACTCACTAGAACAGGTTGCTCAAAGCCTGATCTTGAACACTTCCAGGAATGGAACGTCCGTAATTTCCCTGGGCAACGTGTCTCAGGGCCTCATCACCCTCATAATGAAGACTTTTTTTTCTAGTAGCAAATCCAAATTTCTCCTCTTATAGTTGAAAAACATTTCCCCTGGTCCTATCACCCATTATGCCCATGCAAAAAGCTGTTCTCCCTCTTTTTAATAAGCCCTCTTCAAGTACTGCAAGGCTGCAATGAGGTCGCTCCAGAGCCTTCTCTTTTCCATGCCAAACAATCCCATCTTTTGCAACCTGTCTTGCCTTTGTAGGAGAGGAGCTCCAGCCCTTTTACCATCTTTGTGGCTCTCCTCTGGAACCCCTCTAACATGTCAATGTTTTTCTTGTGCCAAGCACCCCATATTTGAATGCAGAACTCCAGATGGGCTCTCACGAGGACATTTCACTAATGCCCCAGCAGCAACATTTGCTGGGCCATCCCTGTGTAACTGCATGGCACAAACCAAAGCCTCAATGGGGAGAAATGAGGACAGTAACCCTTGGGAGAGGCAAAAGGCAACCTACAGTCACCAGCATAGCTCAAGACTACTCAAAAGCCTCTAAGGAGAGGCCTAAGGAGATAATCCTAAAGAGATAATCCTTAATTTTGGCCACGCCCCTCCCTGAAGTCTCTGCAGCTTTGCTCACCATGTCCAGGGGAGCCGGGCAGCAGTGGAAGTCCCAGTAGAAGGGCAGTCCTGACAGCTCGCTCTTCACGTGCAGCCTGAGGCCACTGGGAGAGCGGTGGCAGGAGAAGGCAGTGGTGGCACCTGGCTGCCCTGCCAGCAAGGGGCACATCAAGCTGCACAAGTGGTTCAGGAAGGAGGACACGTGGACAGTCAGCCGCTTGTTCAGCTCCTGGGAAAAGGCAAGGTTAGGGGGCACAGCACAGCACTGGGGAAAAACCAGCAGAAATTCCAGCACCAAAGGAGTCAAACTACTGCATGTTCCAGTGCAAAAAGCCATCCCTGGGCCTTGGCTTCCAGCTGACATGACATTCCTCACTGATTCTCCCAAGCCAGCCATGCTGGGAAGATTCCCCTATCCTGCCAGTCCAGCATGGGCACGGTGCAGCAGTCTGCACTAGCACATCTGCTCTGCATGCCACCACAAGCACCATAGCCTGGCTGAGAGCCCACAGCAGGACAATCTGCCAGAGCTGGGGATGGCTGCAGCCATCTGCCCATCCCTCCTGCCACCAGCATTATGTGACACAGGGACATGCCACTCCAATGGCACATGAGGGCCTGGGCACATGGGCTGAGGAGATGAGGCACAGCTCCATGCATTTTTGGGGGCGAAGCTGACAGGATGCCCCATGAGAGACTACTAGCTATGAATGTGAACAGAATCTCTCTGTCATGAGTAGAAGGCAGCCTTGTTTCCAGCTCCTCTTTAGTACATTGACCCTGGGGAAACCAGCTGCCCATCCAGCCCACAAGTGAAGAGACTGTGCCAGCCTCTGTATGCAGACCCACCTGGCAGCCCCAGGCATGCTGAACAGAGTGGCCCACTCTCCCAGGAGAAGGGTGTTTGGCCAAGGGGGGTGACAGGGCTTGGGCAGAGCCGCACAGGGACTTCCCAGGTTGGGCATTTGCAATTTATGCGGGAATGTCAGCTGCTGGGAGGAGAAAAAGAGGCCCCTGGCCTCTTCAGATACTCACCTTGGACCTTTGTCCCACAGCCTCGGCGTCTGCCCTCTCGTACCAGACACAGCTGAGGTCAGAGATCAGCAGGATATAGCCGGTATTCCTGAAGCACACTTTGGCAAGAAAACTGGACTCACCAAAGCGAACAGAAGCCCAGGGCTGGGTCAGGAGGCTGCTTTCCAGCTCCTCGGAGCCCTCCATCTGCAAGAGAGCAAGCAGGTCTCTGCCTCAAGCCCCGCCCAGGCACACCTGGTCCCTGGGGTGGCCTCAAGAGACCGGCAGTCCCAGCTGGCCCATTTGTGACCCGACAGCACAGAAGTGAGGATACTCAGCCAGCTCTGGTCACACATGCAAGCAGCAGAGCTGGGCCGTGTGTTTGGGAGCTTGCTGCAGGGCAGGTCCTGCCGCAGCTCACAAGAAGCACCCCAGACGCTCCAGCAGGCGCACGGCAGTGGAACTGCCGCCTCCCCGGGCTATCCGCTGCTTGCTGGATCTAACATGCCAAGACCTCTATGCCCAAATGAGCAGTGAGGCTGCCCCGCCGGCACCGGGCGGGGAGCTGGGCGCTGCACCCTCCTCCTGCTGGGGCATCCCATCCCTGCGCTCCAGGCGAGCCCTGCCGGCACGGACACCGGCACGGACACCGGCAGGGTGCCGGCAGCCACTGCCGCTTCCCGCTCCTCCCTGGGACGGGCTCCACGCTCCCAAAGCACTCGGGAACCCAGCGATCGCGGCTGCCCGCGGGCCTCGGGCTCTGCGGAGCCGCAGCATTACCCGGGGGCAGGAGGAGCCGGCGGCCGGGAGGTGCAGAGCCTCGGGCTTTTTTTCCAAAATTCCTCGGGCTTGCGAGCGGCGCCGGGCCGGAGGCAGGGCGGACTACGGCTCCCGGCATGCTGCTCTCTTCCGTGGCGTGCGGGGCCGGGGCACGCCGGGATGTGCGCTCCCTGCTCTCCGAGAATGGCCATCCCTTCCCGGCAGCCTGGTGTTCCCCTGCCTGCCCATGAGGACGGCGAGCCGAGCTGGCTGTCCCTCTATAGCGGCCGCGGCTGCCGAAGGGAGTGCCACGGCCGAGATGCTGATGGGGACCGAAATGCTTTAGGACTTTTATCTGCGCTTTCGTCTGCTGCGAAATGTCCTGTCACTAGTGCCCAGCTGGGTACAGCGCCCTGTGCAGCCGGAGAGGCGGCGCGGGGCTGCTCCTGTTCCTTGGCCCCAGGTGCATCCCTGAGCCCCAGGGTGCCAGGGCACGCACCCGCCCCGCTGCCCTGCCAGGGGTGCGGGACCCGGCTGCTGCAGCGCAGCGAACCTTGCATGGCTGGGGCTGCATGTGCCTCTGTCCCCATGCCTGCGCACGGAGCAGCGTTGTGCCAGCTTGGCATACCACACATCCCAGTTCCCTCCACACTGAGGCCCATCCTAACCCCAGGCACTGATTTCCAAACCTCATCACCCATTCTCTGGCTGTGATCCCCCACCAGCACGCCGTGCATTGAGGCCATCCAGGCTGGACTCACACACTGCCCCCGAGTCTCCCATTTACACTGTTTCCACACACCCCTCCACTCACCCCTCTCCCCAGCATGCCAGCTGCAGCCACCTCCCAGAGCAGTGGGTCATGGCACAGGGTGTGCGTCCTGACAGGTAATCAGGGAACATGGGAGTAGGCAAGGATTTTGCAGTGCAGGACAGACTGGCTTGCATGATCAGGCTTGGGGTGCAGGAGACCCAGCTGGACTTCAGGCACAGCTGAAATTTAAGGTCAGATGGGGGTGCTGGTTGGATGAGGATGAGCTGGGCATTATCCTGCTGTGTACAACTGTGGGGGTCACAGAGAGCTGGGGAAAGAGAGCTCACACCTAGTGACACACAGTGCCACTTCATCCCTCCCACCCTGCATCCACCTTTGGGTGTTTCACCTTGGGACCAGGTGGAAGGAGATGTTCTTCTTCAGGGAAATCCACTATTGGCTAGTGTAGTCACAAGAGCAATGCCTAGGGGGTTTTATACGGTGAGCACTACTGGGACTATCGACCGTAGGTGAAAGGGTGTTCATTGTTTGGGAAACTGAGCTGAGTTGCACCACCACTCTGGAGCATCTTGGAGTGCCAGAGATTGGTATATACCTGGTGCCATGGGCATCAAGGGGCCATAGACACAACTGGGACACAGCAGAAGGAGGGGATGGACAGCCAGTTGTTCCTGAGCACAGTGCCAGCAGGTAAACATAGCCACAGTGACAGTCCTTTGGGGCTGGCCAAAGCACTGAACCCTCCCCATGTCGTGTCCACAGGGTGAGGGGTGGATTTTACAGGTACCCACATCCTCAGCTGCAGTGGCACCAGGTGGCCTTGCCATCCTGTCACAGTCATCAGGGCAACAGGGGTGCCCCTAGGTAAATCCCAGCTGGAAAGAAAACCCCTGGAAAAGGCAAAGTTGGTGAAGGTTTTTATATCTCGCTCTCAGGCAGGGAAATTAGGTTTGTGTTAGGAGGGTGGAAGCTCAGTCCTGGAGGGCTTCAGAAATGAGGAGCAAAGTGGCTCACAAGCTGCCTTGAGGGCACAGCCCTGTTTTCACACGAGGCACCCCCAGATGACAGGGTCAGGCCACAGTGTGCCAGGCAGGCATGTCTCTCTGGCTTGGCCTTATTGCTGGCTGCAGCTCCCCAGAGCTGGGTTTGGGGAGCAGGTGTGTCCCTTCCCCGGGGCCAGCAGTCCCCTCCTCAGTGGCACAGCTGCCTTCCTCCTCTTCCTCACTCCCTGGGCAGAGGAAGCAGCATGGAAAGGCTTTGCAGGAAGATGGCAGCAGCCTCCTTATCCCAGTGGGGAGCCTATATGCTTGGCTGGCTTCCCCTCTCTCTCCATGGAGGTGACAGTCTCCAGCTCTGGCTTTCCATGACTGCTCAGGAAGCAGCCCTCGTTCCTCCAGTGTTCCTGCAAGCAGGAAGGCAGGCAGTGAAATGGGAGCCCCTTCCTCCTAGCCCACACCAGCCCCTGCACCCTCAGTAGGAAAGCCTGGAGGCAGAGCTGGTGGTTTGCCTCATGGACAGAGCCAGTCCTCAGGGCAGGACATATGCAGATCACCTAGGGCAGCCCCTCACCTGAGACCGTGTTCTCCAGAAAAAATGACAAGAAGCCAGTTAAGAAGACAGGGACCATAAGCAGGGAGAGGAAGAGGAGGTCCAGTGGCACCCAGCCTGCAGGGACAGTGCTAGAATCAGCCAGGAGGTCCCAGCCCAGCCAGGTAAAAGGGGCACGAGCAGCCATGGCAGAATCAGGGATTGAAGAGGTAGCTGCCTGCTGCCATGAGCTGACCCAGGCTCCCAGAACACTGGAGATGTGTGTTCACCGTGCCATGGGACTCAAGGCTCTGCCTTGCCTGGGGAATGTCCCTCATACCTGTGGCCAGGGGAGCCAGAGCCGTGCCGAACCAGCGCGGTACCAGCAGTGCCATGAACATGGCAAAGCCAACAATGAAGATGTTCCTCCCCGAGTCAATGTCTGTGTACTGGAAGTAGGAGATCCCCGTGCCCACAGCCACGGCGTAGGTTACACAAAGCACCCCTCCTGCGAGGGGCAGGAGTCAGGAGGTGCCAGGCAGGCTGCAGGTGCTGCAGCAAAGGGCAGGGCGGGGTACCCACCGTGAACTGCCAGTGGGACATGGGTGAGGAGCCCTGCCAGCCTCGGGGACAGGCCCAGCACCATGCACAGCAGGGCGCTTACTTGCACTGAGCGGCGAGAGCCAGCCTGGGAAAGAAGAGTGGGAGAGTGAGCATGGGTAGCATCACCCCCTGCTCTGTCTCCCACCCTTCTGCTACACACATCTGCCTTTCCCAGCGCTGGCTCGGTGACAGCCTGGCAATTATGTGTAGTCCCGCACACCTGCTCGACTGCCTCCCCACCCCCTGCCAGCCCATTTCCCCCTGCTTTGGCATACCTGCGTGAGGCCGGCGGCGCAGGTGTTGGCGATGCTGGAGGCCGTGCCCCCTGCGCTGCCCAGCAGTCCCGCCAGGAGGCTGCCCAGCCCTTCCATGCACAGCCCCCGGTTACAGGCGTGAGGGGGCAGCCGGGGGGCTCGCAGCAGCCTCCTGCACAGCACGTAGCAGCCCACAGAGTTCATGCTGCAGCCCGTGGCCATGGCGATGCCCACTGCCAGCGCCCGGGGCGTGAGCAGCGGCCACCTCCATGCTCCTGCAGCGGAGGGAAGAGGGACAGGTGATAGAAATCCTGTCCAGACGTGGATGTCTGCCCTCAACCCTGCTGTCCCCCACCTGCATAGGGGATGTGGATCCAAGGGGCATTGGAGGTGCTGTTGGCCCAGGACAGCTGTGCCATTGTCACATCCAGTGATTCCCAGGGAACGTGGAAGTAGGTGAGGATGGCACAGACAATGCAGACACCAGCAAATGGGAGAAGTACCTGCAAGGCAGAAGGGGACCCTCAGCAGGAGACTCTCCTCCCCTGCCTGCCGTGGCTAGCACCACATCCCTATCCTGTCACATCTCCCAAGGATGTCATGCCGCATCTCCCCTTACCCCTGCAGGAAGCATGCCAAGCTGTTCTGGTCCAACACCCTAGGTCCCCAGCACTTCCCCAGAAGCATCCATGTTCTGGGAGCTGCAACCGAGCTTTTCATGCCTGCCTGTGCACCAGGTCTCACCTAACCCCACACCAAAGAGCCAGGCTTAGAGAGAGAAGCCTGGTGACAGTGAAGAGAGCAGACAAACCCCGGTACCGAGAATGTGCGCAGGGTGGGAGCTGAATACTCTGTGGCGCCCTCCCAGGCATGGGGCCAGGCACAGAAGGGCAGGCGGCAGGACCGCAGGTGTTGGGAGAAGGTGACAGCGAGGAGCACGAGCCTAGGAGAGTGAGCACAGGTCACCACACAGCATCACAGTCACCGATGGGGTCCCAAATGTGCACCATGCACTGCGGGGGTGCCCCATCCCTGTCCTGCTGGTGAAAGAAAGGCCCAGGAGCTGCCCACCACTACAGCCCCTGGGCTCACATACAGCAGTGCTACTCCCCAGCTGGTGGAGCAGAAGAAAGCAGCTTCCTTGAATGCAGAGAGCCCGATGATGGAGAGGCTGGGGGCCAGGACCATGGGCCCGCAGTGCCGTGCTGCCCACCCACACACGCCAGACACCCCCAGCGCCAGCTGAATCAGCCCAGAGATCAGCACTGCTCCAGAGACCTGTAAGAGGAAAGGATGGGCCTGTGGGGCAGGGCACATGGAGAGCAGTCCAGTCTTCCCTTGGCCCCAATCCCACCGCCCCAGTAGCTGGGAACAAGTGCTTGTTTCATGTGCTCTGCTCATCCCAAGCACAGAGAAAAACATGCATGGACATGCATCATGATCCCCTTTGCCTTCACAACTCTCTTCATGGCAAATCCCAGAAAAAGAGACTGGGGGTGCAGAGATATGGGTGACAAGTGGAAAGCTGATGGAGAGGGATAGCAACCCCCATTCCAGCACAGGAGCACCCACCTCTTGCAGTGAGTCAGCCCAGCTCCCTGTGTCTCTGCAATGAGGTACAAGGCATGTACTGGCCATGGCTGTACCTGGAAGGGAATTTTGGAAGGGTGGGATACACATGGATCCTGGGCTCCTGGAGCTGTGTCCAAGAGGCTGCAATAAGGTGACTGCTAGCTGCAGAAGGGGAAGTGTGCCAGCATCTCTGTCCCATAAGTCCTGGCCCCGGGGAGGTGACCAGACACATTGCAAGTGCACTCAGGAGTGTGAGTAGGGTGCTGTGCAGCATCACCAGAAGGGCCAGCAGGCAGGACCCCTTACTACCCCTCATCCCTACTCCACCTACCATCATTGCCATTCCCCTGACACCAGCATGGCCCAGGCCCTAAGGGACACAGGCTCCAGGGCTGTGCTTACCATTCCCGTCTGTGCTGGCACCAGGGGACAGGTGGGAGCTCAGCACCATGGCAGGGACCAGGTACTCAAAGGATGGAATTTGAACCAGCGGCAACCTGAGGAAGGGGACAACAATGGCACATTACGGAGGAAGGACAGGGAAGGGAACAGGGCTGCTCCAAAAGCCCAGACTGCCAGAGGAGCAGGGGTGGGAAGGGAAGCAGATAAGAACCCCAAAGTGGCAGGAGGTTACCCCATATTCTACATGTGCCCTGGTACATCCCAAGTGACAGCACATGGAGTGGATGCAGCTGTCAGAAGCTTTGCTGAATCTCATACCCAGCCTGTGTGGGCAGCACAGGCATCAGATGGTGTGAAGGAGCTGTGTATGATGTTGGAGCAAGGCAGTGAGGAGCTGGAGGGAAAGTTTTTCTAGAGGTGTGTGTGAGAGGGAAGAGACATCTGTGACAACTGTGCAGAGATGCAGCACAGAGAGGTTTTCCTTGTGCCCCTTCCCACTTCCCCTGCTCACCGGCTCCCCAGGGTGGTCTGCAGCACTGTAGAGATGCCGCAGGTGAAGAGGCTTCGTGCCAGCAGCTTGCTGGTGGTGTGGGCATGAGGTGGCTCCTGGGGCAGGGTGGGCAGCAGGAGGAGGTGGAAGATGCAGAGCAAGGAGGTCTGCACAGCCAGGTGCTGTGCAGGGAAGAGATGGAGCAGTCACAACTCCTTGCAGCACCCAGAGCTGCAGCTCCCCATGCCCAGGCCCCCTGAGAGGGTGGATGCCCACTGACACCACCTGGGTAGCACCCACTATTGCCCACTCCTCTCCCAGCCACACTGACCAGAGCCCTGCACCCTTTGCCTGGCAGGATGCAGCCCCTGCTCTGCAATCTGAGAAAATCCCAGCCCTCTTCTCATCATCCTATCTCTCTGGCTGCTCACCGTGGTCCCCCCTTACCTGAAGGGCTAAGCAGCAGCTCATCATCCAGGAGCACATCTTCTGGGAGGAGCAGGATGTAAGCATGGGGCTCCCAGCTCCAGGTGCTCTGCCACGGCCCCCATTCATGCTGCTGCCTTCCCCACACTGCTCCCAGTTTTCAGTGCAGAGGGTGGGCAGGCTCCCACCGCCAAGAGCTCCTCCCAAATCCTCACATGCCTGAACTTCCACCTTCTGCAGGAGCTGCCCCAGGGTTAGCCATTAACTTGGATTGGTTAGTTATCTGCCTTTGTGGCCAGGAATGTAAGTGTCACCTTGGTTTGTCACCGTGAGGGCCAGGTGACAGGCAGCCAAATGCAGGCCATCAGACACTATTACAATGCCAACTATCCACAGCCTGGGTCCCATCACTGCCTCTGTGGGCAAGCACTGGGTAGGCCACAGCCTTGACACCTCGTCCTCCATGTGCTCAGACTACTCCCACCAGCAGCATCCTCCAGCTTTGGTATGCCCTGCTCATGCTTGTGTCACCCCAGCATCTGCAGGGGCATCTGCTGCCCTCCTGGTCCAGCCTGGTCTCTAGTGGGGGTCTGTTATATCCCCTGTTCTCCTAGGAGAGCACTGAATCCTGCCACTGGACAAGGATGCCAGGGACAGGAGCTGCCTGCTTGGCTGCAAAGGGATGCTCGTGTTTTGGTCACGGGGCAGAGGTGGCTGTGTCAGTGACCTGGTCAAGCCTGTGCTGCTCAAGGCTCACTCATTAACAGGTAAGGCTTTGGAGAGCAAAGAGCAGTGAAGAGAACATGCATTCCCCGCATTCCCAAGGATGGGGATCCTCCTCTCTCCTGTTGTCCCTGCCTGCACCAGACCCAATATCCCTCCTGTCAGGAGAGAGACTCAGGATGGGCCTCGAAGGTCTCCTGGGCTCACTGGCAGCACCTAGGGTTTGTCTTGCACAGCAGCTGCAGGAGCAGGCACAGCTGCATGGACATGGCTCTGCTCTGGGGCAGGCATGCTGCCAGTATGAAGCAGCTCAGCAGGACGAGGCAGGCACACAGCAAGAACTACTTTTATTGGAAGAGATTTGCATCTACAAAAGAGTGAAAAACAGGTGTAAAATCCACAGTAAAAAGAAGGGCCATGATGAGCTGGCCTGGTCAGCAAGACAAGGTGCCTTCTTCCCACTCTGAGGAGCAGTCAGGCACTGTTTTCTCACAGACACAGACAGCTGGGGTTTGGGATAGGGTCACACAGCACCCCAGATTCAAAACTCCCAAGACAAGCAGGATAAGGAAGTTCAGCCCTAACCACACCTCATCCCCACCAAGCCCAGCGGAGCACAGCCACATTGGGGTACCTGCTTGGTGTCACTTTTGCAAGTTCCAAGAAGTGGCCTAACAGCCCCCAAATGTAAAAACTGCTCACTCCCACCTCCTTCAACCTCCTCTCCCGTACCCCAGGCACCCCACCTTCTCACTGTGGTCACTGCCTTAGCCCCTCCACCCTGCACACACAGTCCCAGCCTCCAACATCCCATATGCCACCTCTGTCCAACACCACTCACTACAGGAAGAGGTTCAATACCCTCTTTGCACGAGCACCCCAGCCCAAAGGCAACCCATATTTACCCTCCAGCTATTAAGTTCCCACCCCAGCAACCCAGCTCTATGCCAACCTGTGCCAGCAGCCCCAAGTGAAGAACATCCCTGCCCTAGGTGGGAGGACACAAGTGCTGGTTTGAAAGTAATGCAGGGGCCTTCAGCCCCCTGCAATTCCAGGGATCAGGGGTCCCAGAAGTGCAAGGAAGCGAGTTGTGCCACACTAGAAGGGAAGGGGAAAGGGGCTGCTGTCCTATACTCCTAGCTGGGAAAAATGAAGCTCTTGATTCTACTGAGATCCATTGCAGTATGCAGGAAGCACTGCTTCAGCCCCAGGGGGTCCAGCCAGTCCTCATGGCCGGGGGCTGCATCCCACGTGGGGCCCGCAGCGGCTGAGCAGGCGTGGCAGTGCAGCACCGGGGGCGCCGGGAGCGCGGCGAGTCCAAAGGGGCCGGGCTGCCGGGGGGCTGCGCGGGGGGCGGTGCGGTTGGATCTCTCACAGGCAGTGGGCACTTTCCGGAAAGGACCGTGTGGGAGGTGCCTGTGCTGGGCCAGATCAGGTGCCTTTGGGTAGGACAGGGCCGTCATCACGCTGCTCCACAGGTAGAGTGCGGTGGCTGTGACACCTCCACGATGGGGCTCCTTGGTCGTCTCGTTCTCCCCCAGGCAACGGGTGCAGCTGCCTGAGGAGACGTTGGGCAGCTCGGGCTGGGGTTGGCCAGGGGCTGGGGCTGGCTGGGCATCCAGCTGGCACCTCCCCTCCTCGGGGAACAGCACAGGCCGGGGGGCTGCAGAGCTGACACCCCTTAGGCACACAGACCGGTGCACCACGGCGATGGAGGCGAAGATGGCTGCGAAGCCCGTCAGGTACACCACACCCAGGAGGCAGGCCAGCTAGGGAGAAGCCAAATGTTAGCCCAGACACCCCCAGACAGTCATGATGCAGCATGGCCATGATCAAGCCAGCAGTCCTGACAGGAAAAAGCATCACCAGCTGCAGGGCTGCATGCTGAGAGCAGGCAGCCACACTGCTAATGGTGGGCAGCACACAGCCTGCCCAAAGCTGGGCCTAAATATCACAAACCAAAACGCTATAAAAGCTAAAAGCCAACAGTTCCTGTTCAAAACCCTAGCTGGTACCCAGCTGCCTCCATGCCACCACCATGTCCTTGCACTATGACTTATGGGGCTGTGGTCTGGCACAGGGCACACTATCCAGCACCAGGCTGCAGTGCCTCAGGCAGTGCAGCTGATTTGCATCTTCTGACAGCTTCCCTTTTCAACAGAGAATAAACCAAGGTGCTGGTCTCAGTGGAAAATAAGAGTCCTGCTCCAAATCCACAGCCTGCTGGGTACCATGTTCTTGCATTAGCTGCTCTCCTATGCCCTTACCTTCACCACTTGCTGGTAGAACTGGCCCAGCACATGCTGCCACATGGACTGCTCCATGAGGACACACAGATCTGTGTAGGTGAACCAGCCACGCCACATGCCCTGTTTTTCAGCCACACTGCAAGAAGAAAAAAAAAAAAAAAAAAAAAAAAAGGAATGATGGACATGATATGGACCTTCCCCATAAAAGCAGAAAAGCAGCTTCAGCCCAGGCAGGCTTGGAGAAGACCCTGCTTAAGCTCTGTAGAAGGGAGGCCTAGCTAAGGCTCAGAGGTGTCCCAACCTCTTATTTCACTGCAACAGGGCCATCTCCAAGCAGGGCAGAGCCAGGCTGCAACACAGATAAAGGGATCACCCTCCCCCAGACACCTACCGTCCCTCCAGCCAGCTCAGCACTTCAAACAGCTCCCGAGGATCTGTGTAGAGGCTCCAGTCCTGCCGGGACAGCAGTTAAAGGTCAGTGCAGTCAGGGCAGTCACTCAGCACCCAGACACATCTTTCTCTATCCCTTCATGGGAGTATGTGGGAGAAAAACAGAAATCCAGACTCCCCTCGGTGTCTCTTTTCCCTGCTCTGTGAAACAGTCATCAGCAGTTACAGTTTCACTTACAATGGCGCTCAGGAAGTTCATCTCCAGTGTGTTCATGGTCTGGACGTCCACCTTCCCTGCTGCTCCCCACTCGTCGTTGAACACCTCCTCTTCCTCACCCTCATCGTACAGATACTTGCTTGCAACCATCTGAAAGTAGCACAAAGGACAGGATCTCGGCCTCCAGCGCGCTCAACTCCCGCCATGCAGCCCAGTTACCCCCTGCCCACTGCTCACCATGGAGATCAGGAAGAGGTCTGAAGAGGAGATCTGCTGGAGGTATTCAGGGTTCCGGTGCCGGAGTCTCTCAATGTAAACCAGGGCCAACATCATGGAGCAGGGCGAGATGCAAGCTTCCCTGCAGGACAGGACAAGAACCAATGCTACAAACATCCCAGGCACCAGGACACAACTTGGCTGCTCCCTCCCTTCCTACCAGAGGGTAGGAAGGTTTAGCAATTGCTAGACAGATCACAGCCTTGCCAGCTCTGTGCCAGCTGTCCTGAGCTGCAGCAACAGAAAGTGCCAAGGATGCAGGGTGGGGAGCAGAAAGCCCTGGTTTCTGTTCCCAGGCACAATCAGCTCCAAACTGAGCAGCCCTGCCTGCAGTAAGGCATGCTGCGAGGGCTCAGCTGCCAAGAGGAGACTCCAGGTTCAAGTCTGGTTACCCAGGGAGCTGCAGATGCAGCCAGTACAGACTCCCAGTAACAAGAGCACATAAGCACCCCAGAGAGCAGGATAAACTCGGAGCCAGCTGCATCGGGAAGTTGCTGTGACTGCTGTCTGTGCTTCTCTTTGACACCAATCAGGCGTAGGCACAAAGCCAGTGGCTGGCCCAGGAGACAAAGTGAGTCACAGGTAAGACCAGAGCTCCAAGTTCTGACACAGGACACGAAGGGACAGGTTTTGCTTCTTACCGAGATACGTGAGACACATATTTCTTCTGGAGTCTGCGGATAGGACTGGGAGCCACTTTCTGCAGCAACTCCACAGCAATATCTAGGACAGAAAAGCACCAAAAGAGTTATTCCCATGTGGTCCAGCCCATGCCCACCTTTTCCCTTCTCCCTACAAGCCCATCAGGTCTTGGTGTTTGCTCAGCCCTTCAAGTTTAAATTAAACTATGAGGCCTTATCAGAGGTCAGGGAGAAGTGAGGAACAAACACACAGGGCAGGCAAATAGCAGCAGGAAGAGGCTGTGAGTGACCAAGGCCCTGCAGCAGTGCCAGATCAGCAGGTCTGTGTCACAGGGAACCACCAGCAGTCAGCTGCAGAGGAACATCCTGCCCTCACCCTGCAGGACTTCAGACACCCTTCTGGAGGCCTTCTTGCTTCTTGGGTCTGATGTCACACCACATCTTCATGGTGCTTTGCTCCCCTCCAATCACAAGCATCTTCCCCCCCCAGATCTCATCAGCACACATCCAGCTCACCCTGCACCACCCCGAGATGACGGAGTAGGAGGCACCCATGTGAGCAGGAGCCTGAAGGCACCAACAGGCACCAAAGCACCTACAGGGTGTAACTGCAGGCCAGCCTGCTTTCCCTGCACC